TTCCTACCGTGTGCATCGCGACGCCGCGCGCTGACAAATCGCTCTTCCGTTTTTACGCGCATCCGTACGCTGCCGCGCGCAGCCGGCGGCGTAAGTACTTGAGATCGCGTATGTTCACCCCGCGATTATGTCTATGCCGCGACACGAGTATAGGTACCGAGAAATCACTCGAGGGTGGAACGACAAATATGTAGGAGAAAGCGGGGGCCTTCGATACTACCGTATCGAGGTGTATACTTTTTTTTTATCAGTGACCTTTTCATCACCGCGATCTGAGCGAAAGGCTAAAATCGCGCGAAGCATTCGTTAGATAAGCGACGAAAGAGCGTATCATATTTTTATACTTCGCGAACGCACATTCGAATTGCATCGAGAGTTCCACCCCGCTCGTTCGCGTCGAGGTGAAATCCGAACGAACGGGTATGCAAAGGTATAACGTCGCGCGACAAGCGGAACGAGAAGTGTCGCGACAACACTTCACCGCGCCACGACGAGCGTATTTTCGATAAGCCGAAAGCGCACACGCGGATCGCGGCCGCGCCTTATATGCGCGAGCGAAACGGTCCCGGTCCCGGGCGAGAGCGAATTAAAGAGCGGGAAAGCACGTATCCGCGCACTCGTATCCCAACGACACAGCGAAACGTATTTCGATAAAACGAAGTTCAAGGATCCTCGCGCCGACGAATTAAGAGGCGCGTCCCGCCGCCGCGCCGTCGCGAGGAATTTACGCCGATAAAGCGCATGTAAGTGTATAGAAGGACTCGCGATATTTTACGCGCGCGTGATCCGATCTGGACGGATCCTCGTCGTGACGATCGCCACGAGAGGGCCCGGCGAATACCAGCATGTCTGGTAGCCCCGTGCATCTCGTTTGTTTTCCACGACGCCGGGACAACAGCCCGCATCCTCGCCGCGGTTCCCTTCCGTTCCCAACCGTTCCGCGACGGCCCACGCGATGAAGAGATTCATAAACGGGACGCGAGGTGATCTTGTTGCATTGTTTGTGTCCCGTTTTCACGGTAGAACGAGATCTTCCTCCCACGATCGGTGCGTGGGGTCAGCGGTGACGCTTCGGTCGTGATTACGATAAAAAAAAAAGAAGACTTACGAGATAAGGGTCTTTCACAGATCTTCGATGCTCGAATTCGCGTGTTGTCTTTTATTCAATTCCAGTATGTCGTTATCAGCGGGATGTCGTCGAAAGCGAATCGAGTTGTCTGCCCGAGATTTCATTTGACGATCCATTTAACTAGCGGAATAAGCGTTTTACTGTGTGTCGAAACGCGCCCGACGCGCGGCTCGTCAGCGGAGGCGTGCGATGATGCCGAACGTGGAGCCGGCGATGTCGTTCGTTGTGACGGAGCGAAACGCCGAAGGCAAAAATACACGGTGTGTCTCGCATCCTCGTAAAGAGACGAAAATATCTGTTCAAGACAGCGAGAGGAAGGCAGAGGCGGGATGCGGCGCCCGGCGTGCGCGCCGTACACTTTACATCCGCCATCGTTTCTCCGTCCCTTCTCATCCCAAGAAGCACCACGAAAGTTTCGATAGACTCGCGAATGGTCTACGCGCGATAGAGATGGGATTGAGAATATCATAAGATGAATGAATTGGTGCAGGGACGTATCCGAAACTCTTAAGGAGCGTTATGTGAAAAAAATATTAATATTTATCAATATAATTGAGTTACGATAAAATAATAATATAAGCATAAACCAATTAATAAATGAATAAAATCACCGACTAATGGGACTTTATGAACAATTTCTAATGGAAATATCACTCGGTGCTCAAATCTTCAATCTCGCTTTAACACATCCGGTTTATACGCCAAGCAACGAACCATGTAATAGCCGTGAGATTTAATTGCGTCTATGATCAAGAGGTACGCTTTTCAACATATCTGAAAAATTGTAATACAAACATACAGCAATTAAGTAAATTATAAGGTACCGAATGGCAATGATATCGTCCAGCGATATTCAATAATTCAGTTTTTCATTTTTTACACTCTCTCTTTTCTTGTATAACCATTAAATAATCTTTACACATCTCTTACTTATCATAGAAAATTGGGAAAATTGGCAAAAAAAGAATCCTTGTGCCTTGGACGAAATTTCGTTTTTGACTATTTACTCGTTCACATGCAGACAAGTCTAGGTAGACGCATCGGTCACGCGTTGTCAGTTTTTACCGTAGTCTGCTATACACAGACGTATATACTCGCGAGCACGCACGCACGCACATGCGTGCGCTACTTGTCCGATCTGTCACATAACTCGGGGTGGCTTTATGACGTTTTCCAACGTCGCGTTCGCTGTAAAACCGCGAACCCTCGTAAAGACCGACACGCCATCTCCCTCGCCGTGAATTAGATTCGCGTGGCGCGATTTTCTCCGGCGAGTGTCTCCTCTTTTTTTTCGCCTCTCCTCTGTTTCCTTCGTTTCTTTAGATTTTCATCCTCCACACCGCCGTTCACGCCGACATCACCATTCGTTTAGCCGCGCGCACGCTTACGGCGACCGCGACGAAGCCGGCGCGATTCGCTCGTCGGCCTCCTACTGCGAGCTTCAAGATCGTGGCACGAATAAAGAAAGCGGATGAACAAAGGACGCGGCGAGAGACCCGATAATCGGTGCGTCTCCTCGTGAGAACCGCGAAATTGAGTACCGCTGGATTGAGTTCCGCCTTCGTTCTATTATCCCCTAAATTTTTGTTACGCATTTAAAAAAATTCAAATGCGCATATAACTTAATATATCTAGTCTTGAGAATTATATTATGCCAAACAAATAGTGCACGGGCTTAGAAAATCGTACTGATGGTTAATGAAATATTAGAATTTATTTTAAATGTCTATTTTTTAACTTTTTAATTTTAAGAAAATTTATAGACGTACACATTCAAGAGATAATTTCCATTTGTACTTTGTTGTGCGCGCGATCATCGCAACGGACATTTATCTATTGACTATTCTTATTGTAGTACTCGAGTTTGTAAACATGACGAATTCATGCGTGTATACGTGTTGACATTTATATTCCGCTTTATAACACGTAGTTAAATTTAGGCAATTCTCAAGCGCGGTTCAAGCTTAATTCTGCATGGATAACAGTCGGTACAATTATACAGATCAATATTCTACGCGCGATCACACGCAATTTCGCGTCCACCAATAAAATTGTCGACCGACCAGGATTTATTAGCCGCTCCGCGCTCTACTACCTGTCCCTCCTTATCGATACGATATTGCGGATGATCGAGAGGGTGGCAACTGTTGCAATTAAATGCTTAATTGGACCGACATACTGGAGCTCCGGTGATTGCCGTCCCGGAACACCTGCTACGGTTGCTGGCTGATTTAATGCTGTGGAAGAATCAACGCTGAGTTTTACAGCGCTCTTAATGCACCTGTTTTTTCTCTCTCTCTTTCTGTCGTTCCCCGTTAAAATATTCATGTCGTCCGAGATGGTCGAGATTAAACGACCAATTCCTTGCATAATTGTCACTTTAATTGTGCATTATTAATTGACCACCGAGTCATGTGAAGTGTGGCTGCCGATTAACTACGATCTTCCGCGATACATCGAGGAGAGGTCGCGCCGCGTTAAGTTAAATAATAGAGATATATAGAAACGTACACATTGTGTGTAATAAATATAAATTGTGAGCGACATTGTTACTTGTGTCTCATTTTCGATCTATACAAGTGTTCGTGAAAGTATTCCGCGCCCCGTCGGGAACGCCACAGTACTCGAGATCGAGAATAATGGCGCGGCCTCTATTAGCCTTTCGACGGGGCACCGCAATTCCACGGTGAAAATGAAGCGCTGAAAGGACGGAAACCGCGGCTTTGTTCGGTCCGCGTCGAAGCGTCTAATTATTGCGTCGCTCGCCGCGCCGCGCCGCGCCGCGCCGTTTCCAACGTCCGAGAGCGCCTAGCCAACGGACGGAGAGGAGTCTTGGAGGAGGTAATCTCGTTGCGTGCAATCGCGTGTCGTGTTCGCGGAACGTGAAAACGTGCGAGGAGGCTTTAATTAACTCGATTAAGACGTTAAGCGGCTATTCCACCGGGTAACGTGATTCTCCGTCGAGCTCTCCTCTCGCCTCGCGTTCGACTCGAATACTTAAAGCGTCCGCATCGACTTTCCGATCGACACCGATTCTCCCAGCTCTCTCGCTTAGAAAGAAGCTTCTTGTTAACGCTTCTCGTTTCACTCGCGCGGTAACGCGACGTGCTACTCGCCGCGACCGTGTATGCAAATACAAGCAAAATCGCGTCGATCGCGCTGTTTTTACATTAGGCGCAATCGTGTTACGTAAAATGTAACATAGTCAATTTGCATCGGTTGCGCTTCTATATTTCTTGCATGTGCAAATTATAGGTGATTACGCATAAATCAATGTCTTTTCGCTTGTATAAGTAACAGCCGGGAGATTGTGAGTGAACTAATTATTAACGAAGTATATACGGTCGAAATATTCCGCGGACCAGTATTATTACGGGCCTGCCCCTTGCGAAAGGGTGACGCATAATAACATGCAAATTTCTTAATTCTAATCGTTGGTGTGTTGTCAAGTTGAGAACTCGTGTGCGCGCGGTGCGCTATATCTCATATCTTGATCCATATCTAATGACTTTGTATTCTACTTAAATATATAGGTAGGAACAATTACGGTCACGAAGAATAACTCCGAGTAGCAAACACGAGCAGTTCCGTAGTTACGTGAGACAAGATACACAGATTAATTTCTTTATAATGAATTCTTTATAATGAATCTGTTAAACCCAAGTCTTCTCGGAATAACATTTACGTTTAAATGACTAAATGTATCACGGACTTTTCCTAAATATTCTTTTAAATTTTTCCTAATGTTCTTCTGAAAAGATACTATGGAATTTAACATCGTATTTGTTTAATTTTTCTATCCACTCGCTCGTGACACTCGGAGTATATCACATACGGACCGTTTAGTTTGCAAAGTGAATCGAAAACTTACGGGTGATGTGGCGGCGGATGGAAAGCTACGGCCGCGGCTGCCGCGGCCGCCGCCGCGTGGTGCTCCCAAACCGCGGCCGCCGGATGCGCCGGATGAGGTGGCGGTGGTGGCCCGTGGTGCGGATGAAACGGCGGCGGGGGTGCCGAATGGGGGTGCGGATGGAAGGCCGCGTGGAAGGCCGAGTGCGAGTGATGCGGCGGTGGCGGCGGCTGCAGCAACGAGAATGCCTCCTGATGATAAGCGACCTCCTTCTCCGGCATCTTGCCGGCGGCCGCCGTCGCTGCGGCTGCTGCTGCTGCTGCTGTTGCCGCTGCTGCCAAAGCCAGCTGTCGCGTCAGAAAATCGCCGCCCGTTCCTTCCAGGATCAAAGCAGATTGGTCGTCGTCCCGGCACCCTGCTTGCGGCACCGATAATACAAACGATGGGTGACAATGGCGGACATAGTCCGTTCTCAAACAGACCGTCCGCTTGTCTTTGAAGAAAGACCCGATGATGAACGTGTCACCGCAATTGCTCCTCGTTTCTCCCCCGATCGAGATGATCGACGGTGTCTCATGAGGCGTACTTTCCTTTACGTTTACATCCTCGTCGTTAGAGTTTGAATAGTGAAAACGTGTCTCGGGTCAATGGGCCCGTCGGCGATTCTGAAGGAATCAGTCCTATTGAGTTTTTAACGGCGTTTTCACCACGTTTCTCACAGACGATCGTATCCGATATCACTCCCGAAACGGTTTCTCAGGTTCCACTCTCGATTCCGTTTTGGACAGATTTGCTTGTGAAGATAGTTGTCCGCCGATAGATTCGAATTATCCAACTGCTACCGACGCGAGACTCCTTTCACTGGTCGCCGAATACGGTGACTCACACTGTTCGTTAATCCACGCGGGCCAGTTTCAAGCCAGGTTCGGTCACTGATTTGATCAAATGGTAACGGGTATCGCCAGGTCACAACGCGATATTATCCTCGCATGAACGATCCCGTCATCGAACGGACAGGTTCATAGAGCGGAGTCAATCACTATCGTCGCAATTAATGCGCGACGATTCCCGCTGGATCGTGCAAATCGGGAGCACGTTCACCACGATTAAACTGCTTCTGACGGCGCGTCAGACGTCCTCGCGATCGCATTCCTAACCATTACCCTCGACAAATGAACGCATTGGAGCACCGCGCTATGATCACTGTCTGCCGATCGGCAAATAACACGCGCGACACTTGATTTTATCCCAAAATTGGAGCACTTTGACATTAGGTTTCACTGTCCTGTACCCGGAATGCAAACGATTATCCCTTTTGATTCGAGTGCACGACAGACCGTGTTTCCGACGGCGCGCGGGGGTGACGAGGCTGTCTTGCTTTGGGAAAGGCGCGAGTCGAAACGTGCATGCGGGCTCTGTCACGGTGCTTGTGCTTTGGCGGGTATGGCGGTACTGAAACTCCTCCACTACCACCACTACCACCACCATCACGGCCATCAAGAGGGAGCATGGTCAAGAAGGAGAGAGGTCGGGCGTGTGGCAGTGGCTGGTAGTGTGTTCTCTGGGTAGGCGTGCGACAGAGAGGCTGCGAAGACTCGGAGAGGAAAATTCGATGTAAGAAAAGGGTGGGGAAAAAGAGAACGAGAGAAAGAGAGAGAGAGCGAGAGAGTGAGAAAGTTACAAGAAAGAGGAACGACTTTGTGGGACGATGCGGGATAGAAAGAGAGGCGGATCAGTCGGGAATGGTGGGAAGAATCGTGGAGGAGAGAGGGAGCTTGTGGGATGAAAGTTAAAGGGAGACGACCGACGCGGCGATGGCGGAACGAGGAGAGAGAACGCGTGTCAGCTCGACAACTCAACTAGCACCAGCCGTCCCTGACTCCCACCCTCAGCCCTTTCCGATCTTTCGTCTCGTTCCCGCGCTACGAAGGGAAGCGCGTGGGTGTATCGGAGAAAGACGAGTCATTCTCTTTCTCTTTCTCTTTCTGTCCTTTTCTTTTTTTTCAAATGCGTTTTTATTATTAAATGGAAATGGACACCAAAAATTATATTATAAAATATTTAGCGTGATTATTACACTTGACTTTTTTAGTTTATTCCCGGATGTTATTCCGTGACATTTTGTCGAAATAAACTATACTATGTTGATGTTATATGGCATCAAGACTTCGAAAAAATAAATTTTTAAAATTCGCTTAATCGCGCGTATTTACTTAAAATTAAATTCTATGAATTTTATAGATTAGTATATAGATTTACAGATCTTATAATAAAGATAAGAATTTTTTATCACAAGGTGGAAATTCAGAGTATTGTGTCATCCTTTGCAAACTCAAACAAGGATAGGGGAGGATTCGGGGCTATTCGGAACCCTCGCTATATCTCGAATACTGCACTACCGAATATCAAATTGAATTTTACCTATAGGTTGCGTATTTTTAGCCAGCTGACATTTATATGACGCTTACATTCGGTAATACTCTAAATACGAACACGGAACCGAGAGAAAATGATACTCGCGCTACGAACAAGAAAGGTATTCCCTAAATTTAGTTATACCCTGAAGCGCGCAAAATTTAAATAGTTCTGCAGAACTAATAGAACATAATGTTATTAAAAACAGAATTAAATTATTCTAATATCTAACAGAGTTACTTTAATAACACATTTCGTTTTCTGTCATTTTATTTATCAATCTATTGCAATTGGTATTCAATCTTCTCAAAGAAAATTATTTTACAACTTTATTTATAGTTTCGCAAGAGCAATTACTATATTTATGATTCATTATTGTTGTCCGTATCATGTATATTAAAATTTCATTCAAGAATGTCGTATTCTTATCAACTTGTAAAATATGTCAGAATATCATCGGTGATACGCGTGCGAAACATATGCGTCTAACGCAACTAAAGTGTTCAGCTTCCGGTGACGCCGCCTGAATTTTCACCATATGCCCGGTATCGAGTGTTTTCTTCTTAGCCGGCCTTGTTTTAGAACTACTACGCGGATTTCTCAAAATCACATGCTGACCGGAAAAAAAATTTGGTCACCCGACGGCGAGGGTTCTATGGACTTCGTGTCCGCCTATCTTGCCTTTCTTCACGTTTTCGGCCCTTCGGCTTTGTGCTCTCGCACAGCACGTGTGAAACAACCGAGAATCTTATGCGAGGGTGCGGCTCGCATCTCATCAACTCTTATAACAACCCATTTTTTCCCGAGATTAATGAGCGTACGTCTTGAAAAACCGTTTACTACCCTATCTATCTTTATTATGATGTTAAAGTTTTTTTACACTTAGAAATAGTGTAAGGTTTTAGTCAGCGAGTCTTCTTCGAAAACCATAAAATTTAACAAATCTATTTCAATAGTATTAATTAAATTATTTAATTGATATCCGATTAAATATCTGATTTTCATGACGAAATATCATTTAATCTATAAAATTCTCAAAAACCACTGCGTGCAAATAAAAAAAAAATCGAATAAAAAATAATCGACGAATATGATGGTATCATTTTTTTTTTTATATATAAGCGATGAATGTGATGGCATTAATAATTGTGATTATTCACGAATCGTGAAAATGAAGATGACATCCTCTTAACCTTGAATGAAATTCCACTACGACATGAAGCGTTCCGATAATCACCGGTGCGAGAGGGATGAAATGCATAGAGAGTCATTAACTAGCCGTCGACTCGTTGTGGTTGTCCTCTTCAACCTACTCGTCGTTTGTCCCCCTCCCCTCTCTTCCCTCCCCCCCACCCTCAACACGTTCGTGTAATTCTCTGGCGTGGATCCTCCTCATCAGCCTCGAGCCGCGTTATGTTCGCGTTTGCCGACAAACACCCGTAACTACTCATTATTTTGTTGACTTTGCTGGCCCGCCGTCGCTCTCTCTCGACAGCGAGGAGGAGACGAGATTCCGTTCCGCGGGACCTAATTATCGTCAAACGACCGGCCAATCTACGGTAGGCTTTTAGGTATCGGCTCCGGGCTTGCTTGTTCTTGCGAATCAGCGCCACCTTAATCATCCTGCTCTCCGACATTGTTGATAGTTCACCGATCCCTCTATAACAGGCCGTGCGCTTAATATTCATCATTTTCCTCGTGGGCTTTATAAATTATTAAAATGATATTCACTTAACAGCCTTCTTCCGAGTATTTTCCTTAAAAAATTCTTTAAAAAGATACGACGCGATTCGCGCGGAAATGAAGGTTCACTAACCCTGAGTTCGCGTTTATTTATTTTCAAAGAAAATTAGGAAACTTAATGGTTATGTGCTCCAGGCGTTAAAACGTTTATCCGCCGCGAACGTATACCTTAGGATATCGCGCGACAAGCGTGACTTCCTGTCTCCTCCCCGGCCGTGTCCGATCAATATGTTTTGTCGACTTTTTGAATCGCCGTGGCCGACGTCGCCGGCTATTTAGATGGTGGCGAAGTGAACGGACAAGAAATAGAATTGTCAAGCGAGAGCGCTTTGTACGGCCGGCCCGGAGTGAATGGACCGTGCGGTCGTTAAAATCGACAGAGTGCCGATATGCGAGTGCGGCTACGTCCAATCGATCCGTCTTACAGGACTGCTCCTGAGAGAACACGGCAAAAAGCAGTTACCTCGCTTCATGGTAGTCGTGTTATCCAGTGTAAACAAAAAGGGACGCGTGTTACATGCACTATGCGAGTACAGTCGAACCGGCAACAACGCCATGCTCGTTATGACCGGAGCATAAGAGGATCTCCTTCCGTTTCTTCCTGCCTTGGATTTCCTTTCGCGCGGAGGGGGTGCGGGGCAACTTCCAGCTCTTTACCTTGCCTTTCATCTTTTTCCTTGAGTATTATCAAAGCGCATTACCGATCTTTTAATAATCCATATTGGTATTTTCATAATACTTGTAGTATTCAAAAATTGTTTGCAAAACACTGAGATTCTTGCGAACGAAATCAGAATGATGATCGATGACTGATTTAACACTGCGTTCACTGAAGAAAGTTTTCGGGTTATGATAAATGCTAACAATGAAATGACAAAATAAAGTAATGGTATCTCGTGGCATCTCAGTCTCGTTATTCGCATCTCTATTCGCTTGGAAGGAGTCTTAGCAGTAAGATGTTGGGTGATTGTAGAAAGGGAAGACTGGAACCCTTTAGAGAGAAAGCCCCCACGTGGTAGTGGGAGAGTGGGCCGAGCCAATGATGGGACTGCTTATGGGGGACCTCACCGGGTACCTGTTGGTCAAGTGTACCCCACTCTCGCTGCATCTTTTCTCTCATTCT